CTTCCCTTATTCAAACACTATACATACTGAGTTTTCCTTCACATTTGACGTAAAATTGCATACATTAATCAAGCAGAAGAAAGGAGCAGGTCTCCAAGAGAAGCAGATTTGCATTCGTGGATATGAGCACAGATATCCTTGCCCTCGAGATATTTCTCTGCCTTCGCAACAATTGCCGGGCCATATTGAAAGACCAACTGCTTGCACTGTATGAATTATTGTCCAAGTTAATTAATAGACAAGACGAGACACCATGAGAGGAAAGTTAAAAGAAATCATATTATTACAAATGCTTAATCGCAGGTATACACTTCGTGTGCTCGGAGAATATAGCCACTTACGGGCCTCTTAAGTATCTTATTAACATTTACGCCCTCGGGTTCAGCCGCTTAATCCTTTTTTGCTTAATTAACAGTGGAATATTTGGCCTCGTTTTACTCCAAGCATGTAGGTAACCACATTGATTCTGAACTTCTCATTCAATCTCCGTGTCTCTATGATTACTCTCTGGTTATTTCATGCCTTTCCTATCATCAACATGTGGTTTGTTTTTCTCCTTGTTGCTAACAAAATAATGCTAAGTGCAGTCAAACAGTTTGAAGGGATAAGTGTGGCTTTATTCTCATAGTACAAGGGATGCATCTGCAATTAAACTCTATTTTGAAATAAACTTATATGGCAACTATGAGCCCATAGGAAATAGAACTTGTTAGCTAACTCCTATCATTTTGAGACAAGCCGTAAACAATCTAAATAGTATTGTTATAATGAGAAGCTCCGTAGTTCAAAAGCAAGATAGTTCAAATTTCAATTAGTTTGAGACTGTCCGCAACACTAAAATATAGCCTTAGGTGAACATGCAGGTTTCTGTGCAAAAAGAAACACTAACCTCCTGCACAAAGTCCTGCAGCTTGCTGCATCCCTTCATAAGTGTCTCTATTATCTCAAGCTGAGCAATTTTCACATAAAAAAAGGAAAAAAAAGTTAGCCAAGGGCAATCTACATATTTTTTTACAGAACATTTATCTGAGCGCACAGCAAAAAACTGAATAAGAGCGTAATTCTTCAAAGTGAAAAAGGATAAACAATTATCACATATCAAAGACAAGAGTCAATTTGAGAATAGTAAAACTTGATTTTAGAAGATATAAGAAATGGGAAATATTGTCATCAGGCATCAAAAGACATATTATGGGAAGATCAAGTAGGAAAGCGCAAGTATATTATGTTCTCTTTCAATTCAAAGGTAAATTTTATGTTCGTAACCAGCTTTGTACTTGTGATCTCTCAAACTAAAGCAAACATTTGATGGATGAAAAGAACCATTTGATGGATAATACGATAAATTTCCAAATATGTAAATTTTGGGTTTTTTATATTTGTATAACTACCACCTACAAATATTAGTAGTAGCAAAATTACCCCAAAATCATCAAATTTGCAACCAACAAAAATAAACCCAAAACAAATCAACTTTTTTGGATACATTGAATACAAATTTGTCTATTTTGTAGATATTCTTATATTTCTATATTACAAAAAAATTGTTGACTTTTCGATTGTGGGGGTATTTTTTCCACAGTTGATGATTGAGGGTAGTTTTGCAAATACTATGATTTGGGCGGTAGTTTCGTTTCCGATGATTTAAGGCTTTATATGTACAAAGTACCCATAAGCTTTTATCTACAGAAGTCTTGTGACATTATGAACAAAAGAGCAGAACGAGTCATGCGTAAAGGTAAACTCTTTTTGTAGTGTGATAGGTGGGAACATGCTTAATGTTAATTCATAAAAAAACTGTATGCTGCTATCCTATGTATGCACAAACATATATGTATGTATGTTTAGCATATATACAGGCAAGACCGGTATCTGTATTGGTGCAACATATAGATCCTTGGCAATATATTCCATATACCAGGTTTGAATTTTGTACAATGATTTGATAAGAGGTTTTGAAAATAAAGAGGACTCCTCATGAAAGTGAAAACTGATCGTAGTTGTTTAACATCTCTTTTACTACACTGAAGCTCAGAGGCTGTTGTAAGAGAAATTTTGTGCCGAAATCTAAACTCACGCGATTGTATCTTATTCTTAATCCATTTGATGGGGTGGGATTTGAACTTGGGATTCACGGGTACCATGTTAACGGTCTCTTCCGCTATACCAAAACTCCAAATGTAGGACTGGCAGAACAGTTGATGGATCTTGGGGAACGTTTTGGATGGTCGGCGGTCGACCGCGAGATCGTGGCGGTCGACCGCGTTCGTGCACGGGGCCTCACTGTGCCTCTGGATCTTTGGCGGTCGACCGTGATGGTCGACCGTGTTTTCTGTCGACCGCCACGGTCGACCGCCGAAGCGGTTGGGGCTGAATCTGGGTTCCAGACCTGTTTCGTTTTGGATTGTTATAAATACCTAAGGGGGTGTTTCTAGGGTTTGGTGTGTAAGGGCTTTGAGCTGAAATAGAGGGGTTTTGTTGGGCTTCTATTGTAGGAGCATTTGGAGAGATCAAGTATGATTTGAAGATGGTTTTTTGTGAGATTTGTAACTCTAGTTGTATCCCCTTGATTTCTATTAGTGAAAACTCCCCCTTCCTTTCCCCGTGGACGTAGGCATCTCGCCGAACCACGTTAAAACTGGTGTATCTTGTTTGTGGCATTGATTTGGTGTGTTTGCTCTTCTCTCTCGGCTATTTGGTATTGGATCTCGGCATTAGGGGTTTCCCCAACACCAAAGTTATGACGAGAGTTGAGGTTAGAGTTTTATATAATATAACAATAGTAAAGCATTGAAAAATAATGGTAAATCCACCTGTGTATCAGGCATATGCAGTTTGTTAAGAACTTCTGCAACAACATGATGGCAAAGAGTGCAAGCATCGCTACGCTTAGGTAGACTGACTGGTACCATCTTCCCACATAGATTCACCTTTTCACGGAACAGCTCTGGCTGTGTTGTAGAAATCTCCGTGAAGAACAAAGGTGCAAAATAGTCCACCATCAAAGCACACTGCCATAGAAATGTGATAAATTATTGGGAAAAATGCTTCCAGCCCCCAAAAGCCAAGTGAACGTGTTTCCGACCCCCAAGACTTGGTCAATAGGTGTTTTACCCCTAAAAATAAAGATTTTGTTCTCTGAGCCCCCAAAACACAAAACCCAAGACATTAAAACATGTGAAGACCATAATACCATTCTCTCTCTCTTTCTTTTTTTATTAAAATATGATGATGATTATTTTATTATTTCTCTCTCTCTCTCTCTCTCTCTCTCTCTCTCTTTATCATGATGTACCAAGAGGATCTTTAGATAGGTAACCCTAACAATTAAACCCGTAACCTTAACAATTAAACTCGTAACCTTAACAATTAAACCCGTAATCTTAACAACAAATCCGTAACCTACACAATAAATCCACAACCTTAACAACAAACCCTTAACCTTAACAACCAACCCGTAACCTTAACAATCAACCCGTAACTTTAACAACCTCCCAATACAAACAACCAAAATAATAAAATACGAAAATAATAAAATAATCCTCATCAATCATTTCAACTATCCTCTTGGTACATCATGATAAAGAGAGAGAGAAAACAAAAATAATAAAATAATCCCCATCATATTTTAATAAAAAAAGAAAGAGAGAGAGAGAGGATTCATAACCTTAACAACAAACCCTTAACCTTAACAACCAACCCGTAACCTTAACAATCAACTCGTAACTTTAACAACCTTCCAATACAAACAACCAAAATAATAAAAAACGAAAATAATAAAATAATCATCATCAATCATTTCAACTATCCTCTTGGTACATCATGATAAAGAGAGAGAAAAAACAAAAATAATAAAATAATCCTCCATCATATTTTAATAAAAAAAAGAAAGAGAGAGAGAAGGGTATTATGGTCTTCACATGTTTTAATGTCTTGGGTTTTGTGTTTTGGGGGCTCAGAGAACAGATTCTTTATTTTTAGGGGTAAAACACCCATTGACCAAGTCCTGGGGGTGGGAAGCATGTTCACTTGGCTTTTGGGGGCTGGAAGCATTTTTCCCTAAATTATTTCCTAATATAAATTGCATAACTTCAGCAAATAATTAAGTAGCTTTATCCAAGCATAAAAAATAAGAGGGGTACCTCATGTTTGAAGTCATGAAGGCGGGAGCAAGCTTGATGCAGCGTGCTGATAATATCAGACTTCGTCTCGTTTTTGCTAAAAAATTCGACGACTTGTGCTGCATATTCCTGGCATAGCGACCACATTTGCTCATTTCTTGCGATGGCCTTAGGAACTTCATTTTTACTTTGTATCTGGTGGTCCACCAATGTAGCTGGAAATATAAAAATTGGCCATAAGGTTCCACACAAATAAAAAATTGTGTACTCTATGAAAGGAACCGCCATTGACACCGAAATGGCTTTTTCGAAGTTTAACAAAAATATGGGGTTATCCGGCCCATGTATTTGCAGAGATCAGATGTCGTCTCCATTCAGTATAATTTGACGTTCCAAAATCTTAAGTTTATCATTCCCTACTCGAGCATTGGAACCTGCCATTTTGACATTCAACTTAATTTTGTTGAGTTCGTGATGACTCAAATCATTTGGAAGCAGGATTGGGTTTAGACTCTAATTAGGATTAGTTATACTATCCTAATTAGGATTGGATTGAAAGAATTAATTGAATTAGAAAATCCAATTAGGATTCAAGTTAGAGTTCTAATAGGATTGAGCAAAATCAATCTCTAAATATATTGTATCAATCCATGGGTTAGAAAACAATAAGAAAAAAGAGAGATCTATATTCCACCATTGTTAGGAGTGTGTAGTTTCAACCTCTTGTAATCTCTTCACAAAAGAAATAAGATCTCCCCTCTTCTCCCCGTAGACGTACACGGATCATCTTGATCGCGTGGAACCACATTAAATCTTATTGTTTATTGTTTGTCTTGATTGCTTAGTAGATTTGGGGTTTCTTGATTGTTTAAGTTTTATCTTCCGCGGCTTGCATACTCCAACTACAATTGGTATCAGAGATACTATGATGACCAAGACGACAGTGACCAAGTTCGAAGTGGAGAAATTTGATGGCAAGTTAAATTTTCTCTTGTGGAAGATGCGCGTCACGACGTTACTCGTGAATGAAGGGGTCCATTGATCCCTAGACGGTTTTGAGAAGATGCCATCCACTTTGGATGAAGATGAGTGGAAAGACAGGGATGTCCGTATAAAGGCTACGATTATCCTGTGCTTGTCAGATGAAGTGCTCTACAATGTTATGAACGAGAGCACGACTGCGGCTATGAGCTGTAAGTTGGAAAGGTTGTATATGACGAAGAGTTTGTCAAATAAACTCTTCAAGAAGAAACAACTCTATGAACTTCGGATGAAGGAAGGTACGCCTATTCTACAACACTTGAACATCATCAATAGGATTATTGGCGATTTGTTGGCTCTTGAGGTGAAGCTAGAAGAAGAAGACCAAGCTCTTCTGTTGTTGTGTTCGCTTCCACCCAGTTACAATCACTTGGCGACTACCATCATGTATAGGAAGGAGACTTTGGAGTTGAAGGATGTCATCTCGGTGCTTCAGAATAATAAACTCATCAGGAAGACGGACACCAAGGAGGAATCTTCAAGTCTAGTGGATAATGTAAAGAAAGGGAAGTCGAAGGGCAAGGAGCCGATTAAGGCTCAAGGAAATTCTAGTCCTGTCATCTATTTTTGGTGCAAACGATCAAGTCACTTTAAGAAGGGTTGCAAGTCGTACAAGGAGTACTTGAAGAAACAGGATGTCGGAACTGATAGTACTAAGGGTAATGATAATCATGCTGGTGTCGTAGAAAATCTCTATGATGTACTGACTACAGAGTCAAGTACGGACAATTATACAGATGATTGGTTACTTGATTCAGGTGCACATATCACATGTGCCCAAGGAGGGAGTGGTTCAGCACTTACAAGCCTATTTCTGAAGGATCAGTTCTCATGGGAAACGATGCAGTGTGTCAGATTGTTGGTATTGGGAATGTCAGGATGAAGATGCACGATGGTTAGGAAAGGATTCTCTCCAATGTTCGGTATGTTCCAGACTTAAAGAAAAATATTCTTTCACTGGGAGCTCTTGAGGCTCAAGGGTGCAAGTTTAGTGGTGAAGGTGGAGCTATCACAGTCTTCAGGGGCGCTCTTGTTGTTTTGAAAGGAGAGCGCACGAGGAACGTGTACAGACTGGTAGGCAGCGTCATTAAGGGCGAGGGATCAGCCGCAACAGAGAAGACTGATCGATCGAGACTTTGGCACATGCGTCTAGGACACATGAGTGAAAGGGGCCTACAAGTACTCTATGGCAAGGGCATGCTTTCAGGAATAACTCAATGCAAACTTGACTTTTGTAAGTATTGTGTTATGGAGAAGCAGCGTAGATTATCTTTCTCTACTTCACAATATAAGTCCAAGGGGTTGCTAGATCTTGTCCACATTAATGTGTGGGGGCCATTGGGGGTGTGAGGTATTATGTTAACTTCATTGATGATTTCTCCAGAAAGCTTTGGGTCTATTTCTTAAGGCAGAAGTTTGAGGTTTTTCAGAAGTTCAAGGAGTGGAAGGCGTTGGTGGAAAATCAAAAGGGGCTAAAATTAAAAATCTTGAGGTCAGATAATGGGGGAAAGTATACCTCTGGGGAATTCAAAGAGTACTTGACTGATGAAGGCATCCAACATCAGTTAAGTGTTCTAGGACAACCAGAACAAAACTGATTAGTTGAACACATGAATCAGCCACTGATGGAAAGAGCTCGCAGTCTCTTGCTACAAGCAGACATATTCAAAGGTTTTTGGATAGAAGCGGTAAATCATGCGTGTTATTTGATTAACAGGTCACCATCTATAGCCGTTGATCTTCAGATCCTAGAGGAGATATGGCAAGGAGAATCAGTGGACTGCTTGACTTTACGCATATTTGGTTGTCTAGCGTATAGTCTTGTAGATAGTCAAAAAAAACAAGCTAGAGTCCAAGTCGAGACAGTGTATCTTCAGAGGATTCACTTCTAGAGTCAAAGGGTACCAGTTATGGGATCCTGAGACTCACAATGCCTTTACCAGTAAAGATGTGGTATTTGATGAAGATGCTATCATGCGGGCAGATTCAAAGACAAAAGACAAGACGCAAGGTGGAGCTCCAAATGCTTCTACAGATTCTCGGGTACAGGAGGTGGAGTTTTCGGGAAGCCCTGCAAGTCCTAGTAGGCCTACCGATGAGACCCCAACCGGCGATGGAGACAGAGATACTACACAGGAGGAGGAGCCAATAGCGTTGAGATGCTCGAGCCGTACAGTGGTGTCACCTACTAGAAATGGTTGGGAAGACGATGATCACATATTTTTTGCTTTAGTCATAGAAGCTGGAGACCCATGTAGCTATAGAGAGGCCGTTGAAGTAGATGATCATGACGATGGATTACAGCCATAGAGCAGGAGATGGAGTCTTTGGAGAAGAATTAGACGTGGGTTCTAGTTAATCTTCCAAGAGACTCAAAGGCAATTGGTTGCAAGTGGATCTTTTGAAAGAAAGATGGTGAGCAATTCAAGGTAAGGTTGGTTGCCAAGGTATATGCTCAGAAGGAAGGAGTGGACTACAATGAGATTTTTTTCCCGTAGTCAAACATACGTCTATTTGTTTGTTGTTGGCTATTGTTGCACAATATGATTTGGAGTTGGAGCATATGGATGTTAAAATATCATTTCTACATGGAGAATTGGAGGAGCAAATTTACATGAAGTAGCCTAAGGGATATCTCCACGAAGGTGAAGAGGACAAGGTTTGTCTTCTTAAGAGGTCTTTGTACAAGCTCAAACAATCTCTGAGGCAGTGGTACACGTGCTTTGACTCATTCATGATCAAGTCCGGCTTCAAACGATGTGAGTATGATGATTATGTCTACTACAGGCAGACTGTGCATCCAACATATTTGCTGTTATATGTGGATGATATGCTGATAGCTGCAAAGGAAAGGGCACATATTGAGGAAGTCAAATAGTTGCTGAAGATGGAGTTCGACATGAAGGATATGGGAGCAGCCAGGAAGATCTTAGGTATGGAGATCTCACAAGACAGGGTTTTTGGTAAACTTTGGCTATCCTAAGAGAATTATATTCTCAATGTGTTGAAAAGGTTCAACATAGATGAAGCACGATCAGTTTCTACTCCTTTAGCCGGTCACTTCAAATTATCCTCAGAGCAGTGTCCACAAATAATTGAGGAGCATGAAAAGATGTCTCAGATACCATATGCGAGTGTGGTGGGATCGCTGATGTATGCTATGGTTTGCGCTAGGTCTGACTTAGCCTATGTAGTAAGTTCAGTATGTTGATTCATGTCAAATCTAGGAAATCAACATTGGGAGGCGATGAAGTGGGTTCTGCATTATCTACGAGGGACTGCAAAGGTGGACCTATTGTTTCAGTCTTTGGAGGATAAGGGGTCCAAGAAACTACAGGGATACGTCGATACAAATTACGCAGGTGACCTTGATTAGTAGAGGTCAACGACGGGGTATGTATTCATAGTTTCTAACTATGCCATTAGTTGGAAGGCTGAGTTACAAGAAACTGTGGCTCTTTCGGCTCTTTCAGCTCTTTCGACGACTGAGGCGAAGTACATAGCTGCAGTTGAGACATCGAAGGAAGCTCTGTGGATGCGGGGTCTAGTCAGGATGTTTGATATCATGCTGGATTTAGTACCTATTCATTATGACAGTCAGAGTGTGATTCATCTTGTAAAGGATTACAGGTATTACAAGTGGACGAAGCACATTGATATCAGGTATCACAAGATCCGAGAGTGGATTGACAGGGGAAAAAGTGATCGAATTGGTGAAGATTAGTACAAAGAAGAATCCGACGGATATGATAAAAAATACCATTCCAGTGGAGAAGTTCAAAGCATCTTTGGACTTCATCCACGTTCTTCAGAAATAACTTTGGAGAAATACTCTTGGGAGAGAGTTGTATAAAGTGGGGGTTGATTTTGGAAAATCTTCGCGAAGGATTGATTCAACATGATGTGAGTCAAGGTGGAGATTGTTGAGTTCGTGATGACTCAAATCAGTTGAGAAGAAGGATTGGGTTTGGACTCTAATTAGGATTAGTTATACTATACTAATTAGGATTGGATTGAAGGAATTAATTGAATTAGGAAATCCAATTAGGATTCAAGTTAGAGTTCTAATGGGATTGAGCAAAATCATTCTCTATATATATTGTATCAATTCATGGGTTTAACAAAAAGAAAAAGAAAAAAGAGAGATCTATATTCCACCATTGTTAGGGGGTGT